TAGTAATGTACTCAAGCCAGGCACGGCTAGAGATACGTAGCCCATTGAGAGCTTGGTCTAATGCCATATACACAGGCTCTCCATTCGGAAAGCTGATTGACAACGGTAATTTAACACACGCTTTCCGCTGCTTTAGCGGTGTGTGCATAAAGGCTTGGGATACATCTAACGATGCTAGTTCCCAATCATTGCGTCCGGTATACGCCAGGACTGTTCTCAACGCTTCTACCGAAGGTGTGGGACTTGAAATTTCAAGAGAACGCGCGCTCTTTGAGCCGCGAAAATCTTTGACAACAAGCCGTGACCGCACTATTTCAGTGCCGTCGGTGTCCTGTTTCTCATTGGTCACCCAACGAGAGGCCAAAACGGAAATGCCATGTTCTGTACAATAGGCTTCAGCCTGCTCCTTGCTCATCGGCTTTCCAGCTTTACAGCCGTCCAGTCCTGCGAGTTCTTTGAGCATACCTATAAAAGTTGCTTCGCCATCCAGATGCGCCATAGTCACATCCGAAACAGCAGCAGAAGGCTTCCAAACTTTTAGCTTGGAGCCACAAAACTTGATGGTCTTGCTTTGCACTTGAGTAGAACTCTCAAACAAGACTCCGGAAACTTGAAACACGTTAGGGTCCAGAAGCTCAGGTCCAGTCAACCCGTCAGAGCTGTCTATCATAGTGGATATGTCCAGCAGACTGTCCACCTCCATAGGCACACTGAGAGGCTCCTCACTAGCCATATCAAAGTCTGGCATCGTAGGAACTGGAAGAGTGAGAGGTTCGCCACTCCCTGCACTAGAGTCAGGCGCGTCCTCAGCAGGCCGCTTTTGACCTTTCCCGACCAATTCAGCAGGTGAGGTCTTTACTTTCAACCTACGCACTGGCTGAGCTGGTGGAGAAACCTCAGTGCTAGGCACCGTAGTCGTCTCCGCGTCTTTCAAATTCCCAGACTCGTCAAACCAGTCTGATGGGTCAAAATCACTCAACCAATCTGGCTGAGCAGCATCTCGTACCGGATCGCTAGGAGCAGGAGCAATCGAAGGACCCACTTGCTCAGCAGGTGGTTCCTTGTCGCTAGACAGCTGCTTTTGCTCCTGTTCTAAAAACTTACGATAGCGCTCTTTACAAGCCTTGTTATGTACACGACCCCCAAGGGTACGGAAAGAGCAAGCAGTACAACCCGGTGTCCTCCCGTGCTCATTGAAAAACGCAGCAGGTGGATTACCCGAGAAAGTTACTGGTCCCGGCTGTATAGGCCCCTCATAGGGCCGAGCCGGTCTTTCCTCAAGCTTTGGCTCTTTTGGCAAACCAGGGTTTGTCAAAAAGCCAACTGCAAGGGAAATGTCAAATTCAAGGGGAGTAACATGTTTGATACTTTTTGCAGTAAAAACTTTCTTCAAACCATCCAAGGTGGTCACCACAGTGTGTCCGAGCGAATTCCACTGAGGACTCAGATAGCAAGCCTTTACAAAGCGAGCAGGTGCAGGCACCGATTCCGGCACCTCAGCAAGCACTACAGAACCGTACATTGCAAAAGTAGCAGTTGGAAGTTGGCGATTAGCAAGCTTTTCGCGAGCTGTCTTCGCCCCCTCCCCAGGACAAGCAAAAGAGTTATGAGCAAACGCTACATACTTAAGAAGATGGAACCAACTGTCATGAGTAGGACAGATGTCCACACCTTCTTCGCGAAGATCAACACGTATAGTTGCAGCACCTTCTTTAAAACGCCGAACAGTCCGTTCAACTGCACCCACAGTTTCATGGTTCTGCGGCCCCGCTTTGCGGACTAAAACACGCAATCCGCTTTCAAGACTACTTTTAAACAAGTTTCCAACAGCCGTTTCAGCGTCGGTGAACAACTCAACCATCTTAGATGGCATCGCAAACTCCGACAACCAATGGGCTAACACGGCGTTTGTTGCTCGCCGGTCCGTGGAACAAGGTACTACACCTATCATTCCAGAAGCTACCTCTACAAGCGCCACAAACTTGTGTTCCTGGCGTTGGTTCTCATGCGCAATTTCAAAGAAATCAGCAAATATGCGTGGCTCAAGTGGCTTTTGCCGCTGACGAGGGTGCCTATGCACACCACGACTTTGCTGACACTGTACACAAGTGGGGTCATACGGAAAATGCCCCCTCATCCGATGTTTCTCGTGTTCAACCGCATCTCTTTTAGAGATACGCTCATCACGTCGTTTGGCAGCTTCAGCCACAGCACCGCTTGAAGCAGGCTGAGCTGCAGCACCGCTCGAAGCAACTTCAAACTCGTCAGCGGTTCCTGAAGCCATTAGCACAGGGGAAAACCCTGGTCTCTAGGACCTTTGGGTGAAGCAGTGCCTTCGGCAACTGCCACAGCCCTCAACCAAGGACACCCACAGTACCAGGCAATTTCACAGATGATGACACCGGTATGGTGCTTCAAATAACAACCATCGTTGACGAAATGGATTTCCCAACCATTCTCCATCAACTGAGGAACGCTCATGATGTTATGCCGCGTCTTACCGACAAAACAGTTGAGCACAAACTTTGTAGCAACCGTCTGCTCAGAGTCCAAACTCTTGACTGTTTCAAAAGCAACAGTTGCACGCGCATGTTTCTGCATGTCTACTGCAGAACCATTGGCGGCAGAAAAACTGCCCTTCTGAGCATTCTTGATGTGTGACAAAGCATAATAGCCCTCAAAATGAGCGGCCATCACTGTGACGGATGCACCAGAATCTAGCAGCCACCACGACCAGCTGTCATCTGTGTCAACCTGGGACACCATCAAAGCATTAAAAAACGAAGTGTAACTGCGCATAGTGCCTTCGGAACTGTGACCTAACAAACACGTGGTAGGGACCTGGACACTTTCTTCATCCAAGAGGACAGGCATCACAAGCAAACTGTTTGCTTCAGCTGCTTCCTCCGCCTCGTAGTCACCAGCCTCGTAAATCCCAGCATCGTCAGCAACCTCTTCACCTTCAACGTCTTCCGTCAGCTCATGCATTTTGCCCTTCTTGCCACCTTTACCAGAACGGCCACGGCCTTTCGGGCCTTTGCCTTTGCCATGGCCCTTGGGGCCTTTACCACTCCCTTTGCCAGCGCTGTTCGTCTCAGTAGCTTTGCCACCGCTTTGACTGCTGGTCTCAGAAGAAGGCTTCGCTTTAGCCTTCGGCTTGGGACATCTAGCACCAATATGACCGTACTGATGGCAGTTGAAACACTGTACTTTGGAAAGGTCTGTTTTACAGTCCTTTTCAATGTGGCCAGTTTTGCCACAACGCCGGCACTTGGCAGCAGAAACAGAGTGGATAGAATCCTCTTCATACCACTCATCCTCCTCCCACCACTCGGCAGTGGGATCGTCCAGCTCATTTACATACCGCTCTTGTCGGTCATTCAAACCCATCTCTGCAAACATGCGCTGTTGGGATTCATAGCGCAGTGCTGCTTTTCGCAACTCCTGGTATGATTCTCCGGTAGCGTGCAAAAGACAGTACGATCTAGCATCTTTAGAAATGGATCTTAAAAGCATAAGGGTGAGATCAGACGAGCCTACTTCGAGGCCGTCACGCGAAACGGTGCTAGGGAGCGTCTCTACAAGCCTTTTGTAGCGAGACAACTCCACATCCACTTTGCGTACTATGTCTGAGACATGAGTAGCAGCAGACTCTCCACGAAAACTGCGCTTGATAAACTCTGCGCGAAAATAGCTGGCTTCAGCACGAGAGCGCAAGGAAAACTCATGGCCTAGGAGCCGCAAAGCTTCAAAGCCGCACGTGTCCCCTGAACTGCGCTGGAGATTCTCTCCGTACGCGGCCCCTTCGATGTAGGAACGCAAAATCATGTCCGCTCTAGCGTGGCCAGCAAAAGCTTGACGCAAGATGGCGAGAAGCCTATTGCTCCTCTGAGCTTGAGGTTTGGTGAGACTCGCTTGAAAAATCTCATGAGGCCACTTAATGGCTTGCTCAATCTCGATGGGAAAAGTGTCACTGCCCAGAGCAACCCAACCCTTCAAGGTAGTCAGGTACTCATTGAAACCAAGAATCTCTTGCTCGCGGTTCTTCCAGCCGTCATATTGAGGACTTGGAAGTGCTGGCAACCATTTTTCTGACTTTGTAAAAACGTCCTGTTCCTCCTTTTCGGGCTTCGCCCGGGCAGGAGTCCCATAAAAGTTCTGTCCATGTGGTGGTGCAACTCTGGCACCAAAATTGCTACTTGCATCGGTCAGCTTACCAACACTGCCACCCGCACCTACTTCGTGAGTAGGTTGCCCTCTTCCAAGGGCCAGCTGCTCTACACGCCTTCCTAGGTTAGCAACCTCAGCGATACAGCTCCTCAGGGCTTCGCCCTGCGAGTGAAGCAGTGCCATCATAGTAGCCAGGTCTGCCTGACCACTCGCACCTAACTGTGCAAAAGGCGGCGACTCTTCACGAGCACCGTTTGAAACACCTGTACCTGCTGCAAAGCGCTGCTGGCTTGCAACATCATGCCCTCCGGGCAAACCTTGCGGAGTAGACACGTTGTCCAAACTATCCACATCGGCTTCTTGCCTAGAGACCCCTTCAGGTCCCACAGCACCCACAGGTGCAGACCCACCTCCAGCAGGTC